TCGGAGGAGTGTGTCATCGGGGGTGTGGCTGGTGGGCCCCGTCCCCATTCACTGAGCCTGCACCAGGCAGCAAGTGGCACCGGATGAGTGTCCTCTCCCATGGCTGCCACCTCTCTGGGGCTTCTGCACCTCTGCGCTTGCTGGGACCAGGCAGCTTGGGCCTGAGAGAGCTGGCCACCTGGAGCCAAGTGGGCACACTATTTGCACAGCAGGCCAAGGTGGACCCAGCCGCTGGAGCTCTGCTCTCACAGTGAAGCTGACAATCAAGCCCTGCCCCAGTCTTTCTGGAACTGGGCATGCAAGGTCGCTGTGTTGCCATGTTGGAAGTGTGTCTGGCAAAGGTCTAACAATTTCTCTCCAACAGACACTGAAAATAAAACAGACGCAGAGGAGCCACTGCAGATGGAGCCATTGAAGCTCCCAGACTGCAGGACTGTACCTGCCAAAAGAAGGTAGGGGCTTCTGAACTCAGCAGCTGTAATTGTCCTGTTGCCCAGATACTGACACCCCAAGCCTGGAGGAATTTTCGGAATAGAGGACAGAAAGTACATGCACACACAGACACTGCACAAAGACATTTAGACATGACACCACAGGCATAAAAACCTCTGAGTCAGGTTCCTGGAGTCTTAGGATCCCGGACGAGCCTCCAAAATGCTCCAAGTTCATGACTACTAAAAGATCAGGAACACACTCCATTGTAAATACATAAGGTGTTTTTTTTTTTTTTTTGTTTTTTTTTTTTAGTTGTATACACGTTTGAACATGGGACGCAAACTCCCTGTGGAAACAGGAGAGGAATGTGGCCCCGAGGTCTAGGGGAACAAAGTTTTATAGGGCAAAACCACAAGTAGGGACTTACATGCTTTGGTATTACATGATTGGGTATAGAAAACTGACTTTTGAAATGATTGGTTCACTTTAGGTGCCAAAACTACAAACAGTTCTGGCCTGGTCATGTGGGTGGTTTCCTAGCAACTGTGTAACTAGTGGGCGGGGGAAAGATTGCATTAAGTTAGTTTCTTTTTCCAGGTGGCTGGGGCTTTAAATTTTTTGGTCTCTCAGTTTCAGAAAAGACCCCTCTGCCCATCCCCCTGAAGGGGGAGCAGCCTTACCAGGCCATGAGGAAGACAATGCAGCCAGTCCTGATGAGACCTGATAGACTAGGGTCAGATGGAAGTGGAGGAGGACCTCCCCTATCAGTGGACTGGGGAGGGGCACAGAACAAGAAGAAGAAGACAGAGGGTGGGATTGGGAGGGGATGAGGGAGGGGGCTACAGCTCAGATCCAAAGTGAATAAACTGTAATTAATAAAAAAATAAATAAATTAAAAAATGTAAAAAAAAATCAGAGACTCAGTTCTGTTGGTTTCCTTGTGGTGCGCCTGTCCCCTCCAGATCCTTATATTCCCTTACTCTTCCATAGGACTTCATGCACTCTGCCCCAAGTTTGGCTGTGAGTCTCAGTATCTGCTTTGGTCCCCTTTTGGGTGGAGTCTTTCTAATCAAGGGGCATTCATGGAGATGACCTAGACCCCCTGCTCAGATGTAGCCAAAAAGGCAGCTCAGTCTCCATGTGGGTTTCCTAGTAAGGGCAGCAGGGCTTGTGTCTGACATGGACTCCGTTGACCATTCTTTGATCATTTTCCGCTGGCAGGACAGCCTGGCCAGGCCACAGAGGAAGAGGATGCAGGCGGCCCAGATAGGCTGGGGTCAGATGATAGGGGAGGAAGGATTCCCCCTTTCTGAGGACTAGAGGAAAAGGATAGGATGAGAGGGAGGGAGCATGGGACAGCGAGCAGACAAGGGAATGGCCTGCAATCTGGATGTAAAGTGAATAAATTTGAAAAATAAATTCAATTAATAAAATCAAGACACATTCAGGAGTCCCATAAAAACACTAAACTGAAAGCCATAATATATTTTCAGAAGATCTGATGCAGACCTGATGCAGATTGAGAGTGCCTTGTTCTCCTAATAATCCTCCATCTCTTCTGGTTCTTAGAGTTTGCCAATGTCTTCTACAGGGTTTCCTGAGCTATGGGGATAGAGATTAGATGATTTCCAATTTAGAACTGAGTGTTCCAAGGTCTCTCTCATTTCTGGCTGTGGGTTTCTTTATTTGTTACCATATGCTGAAGGAGGATGCTCATCTAATGATGGCTGAATAAGGCACAAATCTATAAGTATAGCAGAATATCATTAGGATTCATTTTATCACTACTCTCCTCCCCTTAAGACCAATAATATTTGGGTTTTTCTTAGGCTTAGGGGCTATCTAGTCTCTGATTCTAGGTCATCCTAGCAGTGTTGTATATGGGTTCCATTTTGTGGAATGGGTTTAAGTCAAACCATAGATAGTTTGTTATTCCCACAAGCTTTATGTCACCCTTACCCTAGCATATTTTTAATTTATTTTTAACTTATTACCATTTATTAATTTTGTATCCCAGCTGTAGCCCCCCCTCATCCCCTCCCAATCCTGCTCTTCCTCCCTCTTCTCCTCCTAAGTCTCCCACTCCCCAGTCCACTAATAGGGGAGGTCCTCCTCCCCTTCCATCTGACCTTAGCCTATCAGGAGTCATTAAGACTGGCTGCATTATCTTCCTCTGTATCAGGACAGCATTTTAGGTCAAATGGTTTGTGGCTGGGTTGTATAGCTATTTCTTTTTTTCTTTTGGTAGTCTACAGAGTATTTTCACACATCAAAGACATTGGATCAAAGAGGTTCTTTATAGCTCTAGCTCTATTCCATGTTGGATGAATTGTGTGAGTGATGTCTTCAGCAAAGGGCCTTGCTGTCAGTTTATGGAGAGCAACCTATTGTTTTGATAATAGCCTGGGTTGTTTGGGAATTTCCATGGGACCCTTTAAACAATAATTCAATTGTATGCAACCTATTCCAGTCCTGAAAGTTCTTTTGGTGACAAGGGATGGCCAACTGGCCTTCATTTTTCCCGTTATTTAGAGACGTCACTAGGATCACCTTTACGTATTTTAAGAAGGTTACACTGCTTCCACACTACTCCTAAAATGCCTCCAGAATTGTCTTTCTCCGTATTCCTTCTTTCAACCTCACCCTACCACCTGATTCTCTCCAAGTTTTAAATTTTTTTCTTGGTTTTTTGTAAATTTCATATCACGCACCCCAATCCCACTCATCTTCCCCTCCCCTAGTGCCTATCCTCTACACTTGCAACCTCCCCACTAATAGATAAAAAATAAAAATTTCATTGAGGAAGCTGTATTGTGTCACAGTGTGTTTCACAGCATATCTTTTTGCTCTCCTTCATTTATTTGCAAATGCTCATTGCTATGATTCATTGGTCTAGTACAAGTTCTCTGGCTTGTGCTACTTTATCAGTATTGGAACCTCACAGGGATTTCTCTTGGATATTCTGTTGTTGTCCTATGTCATTGAGGGCCTGTAATTTTGGATCTGCAGGACTGATCCCTTCATGAACTGTACTCCAACAGTTCATTGATGGGGTAAATGCTGGTGTTGTGGTCCAATTCAAAGCCCTGGATCTGGGCTTGAGAGGTATCTGAGCTGATCATCACAACCACTCTGCGGCTCTCAGGCTCTTAGGGCAGGCTCACCAGCAATGCTCCCATTGCCCACAATAGTGAGGAACATAGCCAATTTTCCCACTCTTATAACCCAGGGGTCAGCTCTCCCATCTGCCTAAGGTGTGAGAGATGAGGGAAGGAAGGAGGGTGTCTCTCCTTTGTTGGCACCACTGCCCAACAGACAAGAGACAAGGCCAGTTCTCCTGAGCTCCCACTCTCAGGGATGGCTTACCTGCAACACTTACATGTAGGGTCAGTTCTACTGTGCTGCCAAGGAGGTGGCCTGCTCTTATGAGTGCTGTAGCAGATAAGAGGAAGGGACTGTTGTCCTGACTGTTACAGGTGGCAGGAAGAGAGGCAGGGGATCTCTCATTCACCCATGTCACTGCAGAGCAGACAAGTGGATGGTCAGCTCTCCTACTCACACCCTTCAGACCAGCTGGCCTGTGCGCCCTCTCCACTAACATCAGCTCTACTTTGCAGGGCCCACTCTCCTGAATGCTGCAGTTGGTGAGGGGCAGGGACAACTCTCATGCTCTCATGAACCCAAGGGCCAGGTCTTCCACCTGCTGCAGTGATTAGGAACAAGGGAGAAGGAGGGTATTTTCCCCTTGTCTACAACACTGCTATCTTCAGGACTAGTTCACCCCAACTCTGGCAATGTGCAGGGACGTTCTCTTCCAAATACTGCAACTGGCTATGTGGGGATCAGCTCTTTTCTCATCCCCCAGACATCAGCATGTCCCTGATAGCAGTTCAAACCAGGGATGTCTGCCTGGCCTTTTGTGATAACAGACTCCAGCTGCTGCAGGGCCATGGAGCCAGACATTCCCCTCTTGGACCCCTGTGCCTGTGGCAGAACAGACCAGGACCTCCACCATGGTCCCAGGTGGCATTACTGGCTACTTTTATCAGGCTGTTCCTCACTACCCAGATTTCCAGTCTCTAGTTCTGCCTCTTTTCATTGTGCCTACATCCTTCTGCTTCTCTTTTTCTCCCATTTCTCCATCATTTACTTGCTCCTATTAGTGGTGTCTGGGGTCATCGCAGGAGTAATCTCAGGAATTCTATGCCCCACTCATGCATTCTGATGCTGGGTAGGGGTCATCTTGGGCATGGTCTTTTTTCCACCCCTAAGGCCTGTGTAGTGGCAGACTGGTGGCCATCTCAAGCTAGCTCTCTATCCAGGCCCCATGGTGCTGGTCTCGCGGTCCTCACTGAGCCCACCTTGCAAAGGTTGTCTGTCAATGGCTCACCTCTGCCTGGGGTGCAAGGGCCCATGTAGGATTCTTCCAGTCTCCAGCTTGCTCCCTGTTCTGGGAGCCCATCTGGTCCTCCCTGGTGCTGAGCTGGTGGTTATTTCAGGCTTTCTTGCTGTCCAGGCACCATGGAACTGCCCTTGTGGTTGTCTCAGGCTCCCCCACTCCAGGGAATGTTAGGCTACTAACTGCTTATATGTTCAGAGGTAACAACATTAAGCATAGATATAGTCTCTCTCCTCTTTGCCACATATTGATGCACATGTGACACAGCAGCCACACCTGCAGTGCATGTAGGGGCAACTCCTCCTTCTCCTCCTCCTCCTCCTCCTTCTCCTTCTCCTTCTCCTTCTCCTCCTCCATCTCCTCCTCCTCCTCCATCTCCTCCTCCTCCTCCTCCTTCTCCTCCTCCTCCTTCTCCTCCTCCTTCTCCTCCTCCTCCTTCTCCTCCTCCTTCTCCTCCTCCTTCTCCTCCTCCTTCTCCTCCTCCT